ACCCTCTAGATCCAAAGCAAGGGTGGGCCACAGCTACGTTTTCACTGTCAGCTTCCAGAATTGCAAACTGTCCTAGAATCAGTCCCGAAGTTCCCTTTGCCTCTAAAACCCAAGCGTTAGCAGCTCTGCACACAGAAATGTGGGTCCTATGATACAGGAGCCCTTGTCAGTCGCTCAGGAACACGTGTGTACAGCACAGAAACACACTGAGCTGTGGAGGTACATGTGTATGAGAACCACAGTGCAAAACTACACAGGGATCTAGGTGCTTAGAAGGTGCAGAGACAAGAGTGAGCAGGGGGTGCTGCTGACCGGCAATCAGATGCTCAGGCCCACACAGCCCACGGGTGCATGCTTAGACATGTGTGAGCACCACAACAGGGGAGGACATGCTTGGACCGACACTCACATGAGAGCTGCTGGTGTGGATGTGTGGCTCGAGTCCCTTGGGCAATCGTGTAGGCAGCACATTACAGAAATGGACATTTAACCCTGAGACACACATACGACCAGATACATGCTTGAGTACACCGGGATTCCGACCACGTCAAGGTACCCCCGAACCCCACAAGCACAAACATCGTTCATTCACATGAAAAGAGCAACTCATCTCAGGACAATTCCTCTCGCCCAGACCTTCCCTGACCCCAACTTCCGAGACGGCTACCGAGACGGCTACCAGGATAGAGAAAAAGCAAGGAGCAGATGTGTCCATTATCCTTCCGTTACACACTCAACAACGCTTCTAAGGGCTCCGGATACCTTTGTCCTAGTCTCTGCGTTTCTCAGGTATAGCTGCCTCCCTCTCATTCCAGGGAGCCTCGCTCAGCCATGGTTTTCAGATGCAGGCTCCTCTAACAAAGGCATAGAGTCTAACTTTAAATCCACTCAAATTTGGCTTTGGAACTAAAGAATTAACAGAAGGAGAACTAATGTGCTAATTGGTTCGCTTGGTTCTTGGAGGTAATATAACCTTACACATATCACCAGAAACTAAGATCCAGGAGCTCACACATAAGGCACAGGTACGGAGCTGGCCACATACACACAGGCTTACAAAAACTCACTGTCACAAGGCTAAGACCAGCAGAAACACACAGGAAAAGGGGAAGAGTGACAGGAACTTGGGACATCTGCTATTAATGCCGCATGCAGTGACATGTACAGAAGGCACAGCACACACCCCTATACACACACACAGCAAACCTGATCCTCGTATTGTGATTACTGGGCCCCCATGACCCATTCTAGCACGACGTATACACGCATGCACACACATAACAGCCACCTACACAGGCCTGTAACCCAGGCATTGTGCATACACCCACACATGTGTACACCCTGTATCCACACACAATTGCTCTCACATGCACACAGCAAGAGCTTGAACTCCCACCTCTTCAGCCTCTGGAGTCTTGCCATCTCCCCGCCTTGCACTCCCCCCTAACCCAGGAACCGTGCCTGTGGCCTTTCTTCCTTGTCACACCCAGCTGGCAGCTCACATGGGAGCCAGGGGAGGGAGGCTGGCAGAACAGGGTGAGGAACAGAGTCGGACAGAGAGCAGAGAAATGGGGTGCAAAACTCTACACCAGGACAGGAACCTCTAATGACGGTCCCTGCGTGACAGGCCTCACTGAGCCAGCCTCTGAGCCCGAGTGGGGGTCACAGGGCCCACGTGAATCAGGGCCATCTCCTGCCTTCCTCTCGCACAGACCCCTTTACCGCAAGGCCTGACTCCTCCCCCCATCCCCCAGGCCCCTTCTCCCAAGTCTCCATCCAGTTCCCAGTCCTAAGCTCTCTTACCCTCTCTTCTCTCTTCCAAATCTGCTTGTCTCTCCAGCTACTCTTTCTCCCTGGCTCCCTTTCCTCCCCTCCAAGCCTCTCTCATCCCTCCTCTCCCTCTTTCTCCCCACTTTTCCTCTTTCCTCCACTTTCAGCTTCCCTTTTCAGCCTCTCTGTCCCCACTCCCTGACAAGTAGGGGCTCATACCTGCCTAGCCCAAAGGTGTTCCATATACAGTAGGGTTCTAAGGAGCACACACACACTTACTCCCTCCCCCACTTGCACACCACCCACATCCAGACACACCCTGAACACCCATGCGGGGACTGACACGGATACCCAGATCAATGACGGAACACACATGCAAAGACACACACCTGCCAGCAGGGACACAGAAATCCTGCTCATGCAGCCACACATCCCCACACACAGGAGAAAGACTAGAGGTGAGCCCCAGCCAGGGACATGCATGCCCAGGGTCAGAGGTGACACGGACCAGGATGGCCACGGACTGCCCCACAAGCCAGTGGCCAGCCCAGCAGCTCCCTAGCCAAGAACGCGGCAGAGGCAGGATAAGACAGGACAGCTTGACAGGTCTGCACCTGGCTGGATGCACATGTGTGCAGGAGTACCTGGGCCCCCGTGTGCACATGGCACCGACACACAGGGGACACGGGTATGAGCACGAACACCAACGTGGACACACAGGCTGCCGCCTCCACAGAGGAGCTCCAAGACCACCCCACACCGGCCGCCCCCGCGCGCATGAGGCTCTGTCCCCCCACGAGGCCACGACCGGTCCCCGACACTCCCCGCACCCCGCGGACCTCCGCTGCCCCCTCTCCAGTTACCATAACTCCCCCCACTGGGAAC